GGCGTCAACGGCGTCAAGCAACCCTCCAGAGAGTCACCAAGTGCCGCACCTGCCACGCCAACAGCCGCGGCGTCAACGGCGACGGCGTCAACGGCGTCAAGCAGCCCTCCAGAAAGTCACCAAGTGCCGCGCCTGCCACGCGAGACGACAAATTTATACAGACAAGTTGATAGACACAAGTTGATAGAGACACGTTGATAGAGACAAATTGTTACAGACAAGTTGGTAGAGAGAAGTTGGTACAGACAAGTTGAAAAAGACAAGTTGATAGAGACAAGTTGATAGAGACACGTTGATAGAGACACGTTGATGGAGACAAGCTGTTACAGACAAGTTGGTAGAGACAACTTGATAGAGACAAGTTGCTAGAGACAAGTGGATGGAGACAAGTTGATAGAGACAAGTGGATAGAGACAAGTTGATAGAGACAAGTTGCTAGAGACAAGTGGATGGAGACAAGTTGATAGAGACAAGTGGATAGAGACAAGTTGATAGAGACAAGTTGATAGAGACAAGTTGATACAAACAAGTTGTTAGAGACAAGTTGATAAAGACAAGAGACGAGTGGACGGCGGGAGGCGGACGGCGGACGGCGACAGGCAGATGTCGAGCAAAATGTTAGAAACCCACATAGACATGTGGGGAACAACAACAACAACAACTACTACTACTACCACTACTACTACTACTACTACTACTACTACTACTACTACTACTACTACTACTACTACGGCTCCTACTCCTACTCCTACTCCCACTCCCACTCCTACTCCTACTCCTACTACTACTACTGCTACTACTACTACTACTACCACCACAGCAGCAACAACAACTACTACTACGACTACAACAGCTACAACTACAACAGATACAACAACTACAGCCACAACTACAACTACAACAGCAACAACTACTGCAACTACAACTACAAGGACAGCTACAACTACAACTACAACTGTAACAGCTACAGCTACAACTACTACAACTACTACAGCTACAACAACAGCTACTACTACAACAACTACTACTGCAACTACTACTACTACTACGACGACGACGACTACTACTACGACTACTACTACTACTACTGCTGCTGTTGCTGCTGCTGCTACTGCTACTGCTACTACTGCTACTGCAAATACTACTACTGCAACTACTGCAACTACTGCAACTACTGCAACTTGCAACTGCTGCAACTGCTGCAACTACTACAACTACTACAACTACAACTACAACTACTGCAACAGCAACAACAACAACAACAACCAACAACAACAACAACAACCAACAACAACAACAACCAACAACAGCAACAGCAACAACAACAACAACAACAACTACTACTCCTACTCCTACTCCTACTCCTACTACTACTACTACTACTACTACTACTACTACTACTACTAACTACTACAATTACTACAACTACTACAGCTACTGCAGCTACTGCAACTACTGCTGCAACTACTACTGCAACTACTACTGCAACTACTGCAAAACTACTGCAAAACTACTACAAAACTACAACTACTACAACTACTATACAACTACAACTACTACAACTACAACTGCAGCAACAACAACAACTATAACTAATAGTACTACTACTACTACTGCTACTACTGCTACTACTGCTACTACTGCTACAACTACAACAGCCCCAACTTCAACAGCTACATCTACAACAGCTACAAGAACAACTACAGCTACAACAACTACAGCAACAACAACAACAACTACAACAACAACAACTACTACTACTACTACAACTACTACAACTACAACTACAACAGCTACAAAAACAACAGCAACAACAACAACAACAACAACAACAACAACAACAACAACAACTTCAACTTCAACTTCTACGACGACTACTACAAGAACTACAACAAAAACAGCAGCAGCAACAACTACTGCAACTACAACTCCAGTGCAACTACAACTACAACCCCACTACACTACACTCCACTCACTTCACCACATTACACTACCACTACCACTACCACTACACTACAGCTAAAAGAACAACTGCAACGACAACTTCTACTACAGCTACAACTACAACAACATCATCCACTGCTACATCTACAACTACAACTTCATTACATTACACCGCCCCACTTCATTACACTACACTACCAATACACTACAACTAGAACTACAATATTGCAACTAAAACAACGCCAACTACTACAGCTACAACTGCGCTACAAGACAACTACAGCTACAGCTACAACTACAACTGCGCTACACTACACTACACTAAACTACACTGCACTACACTACACTACACTCCATCACCACACTACACCACCACTACACACTAAACTACACTCATGACAACAACAACACCAACACCACCACCACCACAACAACAACACCACCACCAACAACAACAACAAACAGCTACAACAACAACTGCTGCAGCTCCAACTACAACATTACAACTACAAGTACAACGACAGCAACTACAGCGACAACTACAACTACACTACAATACAACTACAACTGCAACTGCAACAACACCTGCACCTGCAACTACAATTACATTGCACTACACTAATCCACACTACATCCAGCAGCTGTGGTTGAGGTGACCACTGCAACCATTTCAAAAAGCACAACTCCAAGCACCTTTCGGTCCATCAGTGGATTCGCTCTGCCATCCATGCATCACAACAACTCACCTCTCCTATATAGTGTCCTATCTTTGAAACTTTTGCCACCGCCTCGTGCGGTACTATTGGTATATTTGATACATTTTGATACATGATTTGAAAGATTTTGAAAGAATCTCTAGAGGCGATGTCTCTGTTGTCTCTGTGCTTTAAGCCTTTAAGCAGTGGTCCACATGCTCTTTGGTCTACATTGTCATCAAATGTCATCAATAATACGCCCACAAATATGTTGCTGCAAAATGCTGCTCCCTGAACCGTGATCGTCTCATGTCGAAGCCGCAACCACGGAAAGTTTCTGCTGCTGCCACGAAGCTCTGAGAGAGTGATTTTGCCGTCGTCATCCTGGATTTGGCAATTCAGAGCTAATCTCGGTAATTGTGGAATGGGACTAAAGCCATGTCAGTGGCCTTCTTTGAATGGTGCTTTGCTTGACCTGGGAGCATGCTCTCAAAGCAGACCCCCCATGACCTTCCGACTTCATATCGCAGTCGCAGGTGCAGCGCCTTTATATTGTTGGCTGCAAGACTATTTCAATACAATATGCATCAAAAGCAGCAGAATTCATCACAATTCAACTATTTGATCTATTTGAATTCCCTCAAGAGTTCACTCAAGATACTAGGGTGCGATCGACTACGCTTCAACGCTTATCCTTTTCCCTTTCATGAGCTTTACCAATTTCAATCAGTACCAACTGAAAAGGCTCTTGCTCTATATCAGCACAGGATGGAAACAGCTTGTCTCTACAAACCTACAGTTCTTCACAGATCTTCACAGATCTTCACAGTACTTGAGTAGAAACTGGTGGCACATCTCCCACTGTCCTTGTCGAACGCTTTGAAGGCACGCCAACAAAGAGACTCGTTGCGTTGTAGGCGGTGGTCCTGATCTGTTAAATAAACATGGGAAAAGAACAATGACGGCGAGTATGATTTGCAGATAAACCCATGTCTATTATATAGATTCTGACGATTTCTGATGTAATTGCATTACTCAAGAATAGACATAGATGATTCATAGATACAGTAAATAGATCTCCATGTAAATATGCGCCCAATTGCTGATCATGGTTCCATTGCTGCAGCTATGAACTCTGTGTACTCGATCTTGCCTGTCAGGAACATGTCACTCCAAGTTTCTTCCCGGCTTGCCGCGATAGTGTCAACATCTGTCAACATATCAACTGCTTCGATCAAGATGCGGTGCTACAAAGCCTGCTGGACGGTTGCTATATATTATTCAAAGTAGGTCCCAAGATGTCCCAAGTAGGAAGGTCAGTTCATGAAAGTGGTGGTTCGAAATGGTTCGAAAAACAGTATTCCCGCAATGTCAGCACGGCAGGTTCAACACAACCCTGGCCGTCATTATTGGTGTCCATGCTCGCCAAAATCTCGGAGAGATTCGGGAAGTGTGCTTCGTTGAGCTGACATTCCATCCCTGCCGACGAAAATCGACGAAACCCAAGGAACAAATCAAATACATTCAAAGCATTTCAAAGCATTCAAAAACTATGTCAGGTGATGTCCCGTGCATATCACGTGCATGTCCACGACAACAGGGTTGACATATGCTTTGTTGCAAGATCTGTTCGACCTAGAAGTATCGTGGCTAGAAGCATCGTGATTTGTTACAAATACATAAAAGATGATACAAGAGCACACGCAGGCTCTTGATGGCTCTTGATATCTTAATTTCATATTCTAACTATACTGACATGTACCACCATCTTTTGATGGTTTGAACTGGTTTGAGAGCCTTGCTTGATCTCCTGAAAGCTCAAATAGCCATCGCCTTGGTGAGAAGCTGCAACCCGCAGCATGCCCATGTAAACTTAATGTAAACTTAATGTAAACATGCGTACACAAAAAAATCGCAAAAGTACAGCGTAACTACATGTAACTACAGCGTACGACAGCTCAACGATGCTCAATGTCTCAAACCCATACTCTCCCTGAAGAAACTGGTCCGAGTGACTGTTGGCATCAAGTTTCGTGAATACTTCTCGCAGTTCTGCTTGCTCCTGCAAAGGTCTCCAGTGTGGGAACCGAAGGTGAACGCATGAAACCAGCAAAGGAAACCTCTCAAACATGGTCAAACCGTTCGGTGGTCCCAGTAAATATTGTCAGACCCAACGAGCTTGTGAGCTCAATATCTCAAACCAACTCAAACCAAAGTATTAATACTTCCATCCCCTTACCATCCCCTTACCCAGAATCAATGAGGTTCCCTTTCTAGGACAGCAAGTTTTTTATCCAACTGGTTTAGTATTTTTTCACCATGAATGTGTCTCTAAGCTTTAAACATCGTGTTCCAGTGCAACCCTCTTGATTTAGTATGATTTAGTATGTGAATTGCATCGTATACAGTTACAACCAGTTACATGCAACCAAAACTGAGTGTCTGGCGCCATGCCAAAAGAAACATATTCCTTTTTGATCCTTTTTGCACTTTATTGCCAGGATGCTGCACCTAAAGAGGGCAAACATTGCTCAAGACACAAGGGTACCGGGGTACCCTTGGAAATCAAAGTTTATGCAGTTCCTGAATTGGCTTTGATAAAGGATTTCAGAAGGTCTTTAAGCAAAGGGATATCGAGATTCTGGAACTACTCTGCATAAAGAATCGAAGTCTATAGATGGTGTTCTTTGGTCAAACATTTCTTTGAACAAGGTCTTTAAGTCTTCCAAACGATAGGGGATATATACCCTTGGCAATCCTGCGCAATTCTTTGTGTTGATGTGCTGTTCATAGAGGACTTGATAAGAATCGCAAGCTAATAGATACAAATAACATTCAGATTTCTGAACTGAAAGCTGCCTCCTGATAATACACGATAAACAAAACCGGCATCTTGGTTAGATGGGGGCGGGGTATCGTATGAGGGGATGCATCATGATATTTCCATGATTTTCCCACGACCACGCCTAACCCTTATATTAAGTTGCCTTTCTAACCCTTATGCTGCAAATTCATTACCATTACACGCATGCTTTTCTAACCCCATGGGAAATCTAACCCTTAAAAAAACTATTTTTAAACCTTTTAAGGCCAAAATTTGGATCTTAAGGCAAAAATTTGGATGTTAAGGCCAAAATTTGGATGTTAACGGCAAAATTTGGATGTTCACGGCAAAATTTTGGATGTTAAGGCCAAAATTTGGATGTTAACGGCAAAATTTGGATGGTAAGGCCAAAATTTGGATGTTAACGGCAAAATTTGGATGTTAAGGCAAACATGTGGATGTTAACGGCAAAAATGTGGATGTTAATGCCAAAATTTTGGATGTTAAGGCCAAAATTTGGATGTTAACGGCAAAATTTGGATGTTAACGGCAAAATTTGGATGTTAAGGCCAAAATTTGGATGTTAAGGCCAAAATTTGGATGTTAAGGCCAAAATTTGGATGTTAAGGCCAAAATTTGGATGTTAAGGCCAAAATTTTGGATGTTAAGGCCAAAATTTGGATGTTAAGGCCAAAATTTGGATGTTAACGGCAAAAATTGGATGTTAAGGCCAAAATTTGGATGTTAAGGCCAAAATTTGGATGTTAACGGCAAAATTTGGATGTTAAGGCCAAAATTTGGATGTTAACGCCAAAATTTGGATGTTAAGGCCAAAATTTGGATGTTAAGGCCAAAATTTGGATGTTAAGGCCAAAATTTGGATGTTAACGGCAAAATTTGGATGTTAAGGCAAAAATGTGGATGTTAAGGCCAAAATTTTGGATGTTAAGGCCAAAATTTGGATGTTAAGGCCAAAATTTGGATGTTAACGGCATTTGGATGTTAAGGCCAAAATTTGGATGTTAAGGCCAAAATTTGGATGTTAAGGCCAAAATTTTGGATGTTAAGGCAAAAATGTGGATGTTAAGGCCAAAATTTTGGATGTTAAGGCCAAAATTTTGGATGTTAAGGCCAAAATTTGGATGTTAAGGCCAAAATTTGGATGTTAAGGCAAAAATGTGGATGTTAAGGCCAAAATTTTGGATGTTAAGGCCAAAATTTTGGATGTTAAGGCCAAAATTTGGATGTTAAGGCCAAAATTTGGATGTTAAGGCCAAAATTTGAATATCAAAGGAACATTTTGTTGTTGCAAATTAATCTCATCAATTATTCCTTAGGCCTGCTGCTGGCTTTAGACTTAGAGGTTAGTGAAATACACAATATTGAGGTTATTGAAATGCACAATATTGAGGTTAGTGAAAATATAAAGGGCAAAATTTTTTTTGTGGTTAGCAAAATCTACCTTGTTGGGGTTAGGCAAAGATCTCTTGAGGTTAGCAATTTAGCTTGTAAGGGTTAGTAGTGAAGTGCATCTCTTCCTTTTCCATGCCAGTATTTTCCATGGTTGAAACATTTGGGCCCAGGCAAAAGTAGCAAGGTAGCGGCCCTGTGCAAACCTCACGTTTCACTGGTTTTCACATCTTTCATGAGCCATCTGAAACTCTGATGTGGTCCATCAGTTCTTTGGTTCTGTAGGGACCAACTCCAGCTTTGGACTTTGTGCACAACCATGAATTGGTCTGGAAAGAGATGGTGACTGGCAGCTAAACAGGTACAGGTACCTACAACATCCTACAACATCTTACAACCGAATCTTATTTGAACTCTGAAGACAGAAAACAAAAGCAACTGATTGAAATCAGTACATATCAAATATGCGCACCGTTGACGCTGTTTGTTCAGGGGCCGCCTACTCCAAAAATCCCGTGTATCCACAAGATTCCAAAAAACAATAAGTGCCAGGTACTGATATGGAGAATTGCCGTCTTTTCATTGTGCGCTTGACCTTTTGAATATGCTTAAATATGCTTATATAAAATAAATGTTCCTTAATTTTTGTAGATTTTTTTTGAACTCTTGCAGCCTTTTGCCAAACTGTTGGTTTTAGTTTTATTGGTTTTCTATGGTTTTCTCACCTTTTCTCTGTCCTCCGTAGTGAGCTGGTATGCTACCGCAGTCATGGCAGCCTTTTGAAATCGGTTTGCCACGCTGAAATTGCGGAGATTTCCAAGGACCTCCGCTCTCAGCTCTCAAGCGCAAGATTTATATAAATCAATCAAGTCACTTGCTGAGTCACTTGTTGCACAATGTTGCACATACACAACGCACAGAATCAAAATAAAGCAAACATAGCCAAACTATGAACCACTAGGAATCAATGTATTTCATTGTTTGTCTTGATGACACAGTACTAGAATGATCCAGAATGTGCCCATGCTCACCTTCTCCTGTGACTATTCCGAAATTCCAGTGTAGCAGAACAAAATTGATGAAATTGAACACACGCCCGGGAACAAACATGTCTCGGGCTACCGTTTCAGGTATCAGCTAACATGTTCACTCTGTACCGGCGTTTTCCTGGGGAATGCATTGCAACTTTTTTTGGGACCATTGACCCAAAAACAGCTAACATGTCTCAGTTCCTGCAATTGGGGCCCTTGGATTTCGACCCTGATCTGGGATATGTTAGCTATTTTTGGGGGATAGATTCAGCCAATAACCACTCACATATCTCAAAACCACATCCTCTGAACAACACGGACACGTAGGTGGACGCTTTCCATGGCCAGTCATCCAACCCTTAGTAAATGCAACTGGTTTTTGGAGTGCACCCCCAATCTTCCTGCCCACCCACGAGCATCATCTATGATGCGCTCTTCCGGAAGGAGTTGGGGCCCCTTTTTTCTCCACCGTTTTGTTATCAATGCGGTCTTTGATTTGAGCCCTGTTGGGGTCTGGAAATAAGGATGCTGGGGCGTCCGGGGCGGTAGTCTTCTGGCAGTTTCCCGGGAACCCCCAGAGGGGGGGACAACTTTTCCACTAACATGCCCATTCTGGATTTTCAACTAACATGTCTCAAGTATAGGGCACTTATCATAGCCTATGTTCACAGCAGCTAACGTATCCAAAAAAAACACTTTACTTCGAGTTATCCCCACCATGACATCTATACGTTTTGTTACTGGCAAATCTTCTGGCATTCTATCTGACATATCTTCTGGCATTTTATCTGGCATATCTTCTGGCATTCTACCTGGAATATCTTCTGGCATATGTTCTGGCATATCTTCTGGCACTCTATCTGGCAGATCTTCTGGCGTTCTATCTGGCAAACATTCTGGCACTTTATCTGGCATACCTTCTGGCATTCTATCTGACATTCTATCTGGCATACCTTCTGGCATTCTATCTGGCATATCTTCTGGCATTTAATCTGGCAAACATTCTGGCACTTTATCTGGCAAACATTCTGGCATTCTATCTGGCATATCTTCTGGCATTCTATCTGGCATATCTTCTGGCATTCTACCTGGAATATCTTCTGGCATATGTTCTGGCATATCTTCTGGCACTCTATCTGGCAAATCTTCTGGCGTTCTATCTGGCAAACATTCTGGCACTTTATCTGGCATACCTTCTGGCATTCTATCTGACATTCTATCTGGCATTCTATCTGGCATATCTTCTGGCATTCATATCTGGCAAACATTCTGGCCTTTATCGGCATACCTCTGGCATTCTATCTGGCATACCTTCACATATCTTCTGGCATTCTATCTGGCAAACATTCTGGCACTTTATCTGGCATATCTTCTGGCATTCTTTCTGACATTCTATCTGGTGTTCTATCTAGCATATCTTCTGGCATCCTATCTGGCTGTTGAGGTCCAGCGGTGCTCACTGAGCTCGGAGGGTCCCAGGTTGAGGTCCAGCGGTGCTCACTGATCTCGGAGGGTCCCAGGTTGAGGTCCAGCGGTGCTCACTGAGCTCGGACGGTCCGAGGTTGAGGTCCAGCGGTGCTCACTGAGCTCGGACGGTCCCAGGTTGAGGTCCAGCGGTGCTCACTGAGCTCGGAAGGTCCGAGGTTGAGGTCCAGCGGTGCCCAGTGCGCTCAGACCCTTGCAGTTGAGGTCCAGCAGTGCCCACTGCGTGCGGAAGTTGGCGAAGAGGTTGGCGAAGAGTTGGGGCGGAAGTGGACATGGAAGTGGAGGCAGAGGTGGTGGAGGAGAACGAGGAGGAGAAGAAGGAGGAGGAGGAGAAGAACAACTCTGATAAGATCTAACAACCCTCACCTGGCAGGTGGGGAAATCCACAAAAAAAGTGGATACGCGTCTTGGGCTACCGTTTCAGGTATCAACTAACATGTCCACCCTGTACCGGCGTTTTCCTGGGGAATGCATTGCAACTTTTTTTGGGACCATTGACCCAAAAACAGCTAACATGTCTCAGTTCCTGCAATTGGGGCCCTTGGATTTCGACCCTGATCTGGGATACGTTAGCTATTTTTGGGGGATAGATTCAGCCAATAACCACTCACATATCTCAAAACCACATCCTCTGAACAACACGGACACGTTAGGTGGACGCTTTCCATGGCCAGTCATCCAACCCTTAGTAAATGCCAATCTTCCTGCCCACCCACGAGCATCATCTATGATGCGCTCTTCCGGGCGGAGTTGGGGCCCCTTTTTTCTCCACCGTTTTGTTATCAATGCGGTCTTTGATTTGAGCCCTATTGGGGTCTGGAAATAAGGATGCTGGGGCGTCCGGGGCGGTAGTCTTCTGGCAGTTTCCCGGGAACCCCCAGAGGGGGGGACAACTTTTCCACTAACATGCCCATTCTGGATTTTCAACTAACATGTCTCAAGTATAGGGCACTTATCATAGCCTATGTTCACAGCAGCTAACGTATCCAAAAAAAACACTTTACTTCGAGTTATCCCCACCATGACATCTATACGTTTTGTTATTGGCAAATCTTCTGGCATTCTATCTGACATATCTTCTGGCATTTTATCTGGCATATCTTCTGGCATTCTACCTGGAATATCTTCTGGCATATGTTCTGGCATATCTTCTGGCACTCTATCTGGCAAATCTTCTGGCGTTCTATCTGGCAAACATTCTGGCACTTTATCTGGCATACCTTCTGGCATTCTATCTGACATTCTATCTGGCATTCTATCTGGCATATCTTCTGGCATTCTATCTGGCAAACATTCTGGCACTTTATCTGGCAAACATTCTGGCATTCTATCTGGCATATCTTCTGGCATTCTATCTGGCATATCTTCTGGCATTCTATCTGGCAAACATTCTGGCACTTTATCTGGCATATCTTCTGGCATTCTTTCTGACATTCTATCTTGTGTTCTATCTAGCATATCTTCTGGCATCCTATCTGGCTGTTGAGGTCCAGCGGTGCTCACTGAGCTCGGAGGGTCCCAGGTTGAGGTCCAGCGGTGCTCACTGATCTCGGAGGGTCCCAGGTTGAGGTCCAGCGGTGCTCACTGAGCTCGGACGGTCCGAGGTTGAGGTCCAGCGGTGCTCACTGAGCTCGGACGGTCCCAGGTTGAGGTCCAGCGGTGCTCACTGAGCTCGGAAGGTCCGAGGTTGAGGTCCAGCGGTGCCCAGTGCGCTCAGACCCTTGCAGTTGAGGTCCAGCAGTGCCCACTGCGTGCGGAAGTTGGCGAAGAGGTTGGCGAAGAGTTGGGGCGGAAGTGGACATGGAAGTGGAGGCAGAGGTGGTGGAGGAGAACGAGGAGGAGAAGAAGGAGGAGGAGGAGAAGAACAACTCTGATAAGATCTAACAACCCTCACCTGGCAGGTGGGGAATCCACAAAAAAAGTGGATACGCGTCTCGGGCTACCGTTTCAGGTATCAACTAACATGTCCACCCTGTACCGGCGTTTTCCTGGGGAATGCATTGCAACCTTTTTTTGGGACCATTGACCCAAAAACAGCTAACATGTCTCAGTTCCTGCAATTGTGGCCCTTGGATTTCGACCCTGATCTGGGATACGTTAGCTATTTTTGGGGGATAGATTCAGCCAATAACCACTCACATATCTCAAAACCACATCCTCTGAACAACACGGACACGTTAGGTGGACGCTTTCCATGGCCAGTCATCCAACCCTTAGTAAATGCCAATCTTCCTGCCCACCCACGAGCATCATCTATGATGCGCTCTTCCGGGCGGAGTTGGGGCCCCTTTTTTCTCCACCGTTTTGTTATCAACGCGGTCTTTGATTTGAGCCCTATTGGGGTCTGGAAATAAGGATGCTGGGGCGTCCGGGGCGGTAGTCTTCTGGCAGTTTCCCGGGAACCCCCAGAGGGGGGGACAACTTTTCCACTAACATGTCCATTCTGGATTTTCAACTAACACACAGCAGCTAACGTATCCAAAGATTTTTTCCACAAAAAAAGTGGATACGTTTGTTCCCTAGAGGGTACAATGGAAGTCAAACGTACAAGACTGGATCTTCTCAGAAAAATCTTTGCCTTTACAGAAAAAATGAAGAGGGTCTTCGAACGGATCTTGAATGATTTGAAAGGATCTGAAAGATTTCTTGACCCTGGCAACAATAGAAAGCCATAGCGCGCTTGCCTTTGCGTCCAAGAGGGCTGTGCTATTGTGAACCTCGGTGAATCTCTGTGACTCTGAAAACACTCTTACGCATGCCTTTGCTATTTGCTGCGGTTTCAGCATTCCAACCCCATACCTAAAAATCCAGACAATCATGTACTTGAAGCATCCTGAAACATCATGATTGCCCAAAGACCCCAAAGATCCAAATATCATCAAATATCCAAATCTAGGACAATAAGGACATGGACGGTTCAAAATGTTGTGCAACTTACGGGGTCATCCGCACAGTGAACGTGCAGTGAACGCGTCGCCAAGCTGGCCAAGCCACCTGAAACCATCCATGGTTCAAGGCCTGCATAGATGTGAGCCGCTTGGCTGGATCCATCTCCAAACATCCACGGATCAAATCTTTCGCCAATGCTGAGACTGACGACCAGATGCTGCCCCCCATACCTTGCAAATTCACGACAAAGATCGACAAATCATCCAAAAAAAATGAGCACGCCAGACCACAACACCATGTGCTGCAGCTGTGTTGCTGTAATGACCTCTTTTCACTTTCTTTAAAACCTCGATGTCCTGCAGAGCAGACATACAAAACATGAACATAAACATAAACTTAACTTATATAGCATAATTTGAAAACTGCCTGCGATCAAAAGAGCCTCCTTATCACAGTTCGAACCTTTTTTTTTGACAATTGTTTTACATTCAGCACGTGATTTTACATCTAGCTATCTAGCTAGCTAATTTTAATTTTACACTTCACAGTTCCCATATAATTCGCTATTTATTTAGGGTTTCATATTTTACGACGTCTTTCGGATTTTTTGAACCGTTCAAATATGCTCAAATCATTTCAACAAATTCACCTCAGGTTTTTCCGTCAGCACGACCGTGGCGGGGACCCTATGGCCGTGCCAATGGGGAGTGCTGCAAAAATGGTCACGCTTTTATGGAGGTTCCAAACGTCGTGTAGCGTCGTTTCGTGTGGCACGCGTGGCACTTTGTATGCACTTAGTGGCATTCCAACATGTTTCATCATGTGTCAAAAGTCATTCTGTGTGACAGGCGCAATACTTTTGCATCGTTTTCAGAAGATGACGTTCATGTTTCGTGGCAGGCGCAGCACTTTGGACGTGCCCATCTTCATTTTGCGTGGCAGGCGCAGCACTTTATAGACGTGTGGTGTTGCTTGTTTTTTGTGAATCGCATTGTCATGCATCACGCGGTGGCAAAATGCAAATTGCGTGGCAAGCGTTGCATTTTGCGACGTGTGACAGTGATGAAAATTGATGGAATCCTCGCACGAAAAATCGATTTTGAGGTTGCAGATTTTGGGATTCGTTAGGGCAACTCAGGAATACGTCGGTTTTGTAGCTACAAAGTGTCAAAATTTGAGGTTATCTCGAATGAAATTTTTGTTTAGAGTTTCCAACGTGTCTCCTCTCGATTCTCTGGTTTTGTTGTGGCTTCGCCGTGCCTATGGGGGTTGGGGCTTCAGATGTTGTAATTTCTGGAATTAAAAGCGGCCTCTACAAAACTAAAAACATAGCATTTGAACCGGACCTTTCAGGCCTGCAAAATCCAAACGCCCAACCCCACTTTTGCTGGGACCTGGGGCACCCGGCGCTTCTACACAATCGAAATCATGGAAATCCACTTGCTATATATAGGCACTAAAAATTTGGTTCAAATTCATTGACAAAAGCCAGCCCAGAAACAATAGGATTTTGTAAAGAAACCTTTGTTTTGGGTCTAAAAATCAACAAAAATCTCTGTTGGATTTTGTAGAGGCCCGGTTTCTGATTCTTTGTCATGGTTTCAACTTTTCTGCCGCTTTGTTGTCGCACTTTGTTTCTAGTCTTGTGTGTGTGTGCCATTTCACCACGCCCGTGCATGTTGGTGGATCTATATAGGCCAAATCCCTTTCAAGACCTACCTGAGAAGGGGGGAACGAAAGTCAGCTCTGATAATGAACCCCCCCGCGCACAGCACATTGCCTGACCTTCATCCTGAAACTCTGCTGGTGGTTTACGTATCTTCAGTCTCTTGAGCAATATATTTTTCTCCATCTATTTGTTTCACTGGCCAGAAACCGGACTGAGGGGGAACCGATACCCTATTGCAGCAAACTTCCTGCGCGTAAACCTTCAGGATTGGAGTTTTTCTGTTGGAGCAAGCCCGTAAGCATCAAGACTGAGAGCATTAAACTTCCTGCGCAGAATTCCTTCAAAATTGGAGTTCTCTAGTTGCAGCAAACCGCAAGCATCACGACGGTGCGTACTCCAGGTCGCCTTCCTAAAACTCTGTTGGTCAGCTACGTAGTCTCTTAAGCAAAATATCTCGCTCTATCGATGTCTCTGACTGGCTACTTAGCTCACCCACGAAAACCCAGACCGAGGGGGAATCAATACCCTACCTACCGCAGCCAATTTCGAGCGCGTCACACCTTCAAAATTGGAGTTGTTAAAAGGAACACGCCGTTCTTGGCTTAAGATAAGCTCAACATGGCTCGAATATCGCCCTAACAAAGCCTCCAAGAGCCTAACATGGATCAACATAGGCCCAACATAGGCTCCATATACGCCCAACATGGTCCCGACATGATCCAAAAACGGCGTGTTCCTTTCGGGCCGGGAAAAGGCTTAAAACCAAGACGCCGTTCTTGGCTTAACATGGGCTCAACCTGGCTAAAATATGGCCCCATGGCGTCTAAGAGCCTAACATGGATCAACATAGGTCCAGCATAGGCTCCATACACGCCCAACATGGTCCCGACATGATTCAAAAACGACGTGTTCCTTTCTGGCCGGGCTTAAAAGGAACACGCCGTTCTTGGCTTAAGATAAGCTCAACATGGCACAAATATCCATCTATCCATCTATCCATCTATCCATCTATCTATCTGTCTATCTATCTATCTATCTGTCTATCTGTCTATCTATCTATCTATCTATCCATCAATCTAATCTAATCTAATCTAATCTAATCTATCAATCTATCAATCTATCAATCTATCAATCAATCAATCTATCAATCAATCAATCAATCTATCTATCTATCTATCTAATCTACCTACCTATCTACCTATCTATCTATCTATCTATCCTATTCTATCCTATTCTATCCTATTCTATCCTATTCTATCCTATTCTATCCTATCTATCCTATCTATCCTATCTATCCTATCTATCCTATCTATCCTATCTATCCTATCTATCCTATCTATCCTATCTATCCTATCTATCCTATCTATCCTATCTATCGATCTATCCATCCTATCTATCTATCTATCTATCTATCTATCTAAGCTAGCTAGCTAGCTAGCTATCTATCTATCTATCTAATCTAGCTAGCTAGCTATCTAGCTATCTATCTATCTATCTATCTAATCCTAGCTAGCTAGCTAGCTAGCTATCTATCTATCTATCTATCTATCTAATCTAGCTAGCTAGCTATCTAGCTATCTATCTATCTATCTATCTAGCTATCTATCTATCTATCTAATCTAGCTAGCTAGCTATCTATCTATCTATTCTACAAAGTTGCTATTAAAGAAACAGTAGTCACTTTTCCATTTATTGTATCCGCCACCATACTAGTGGATCATGTGGATCTATAGGCCAAATCTCTTTTTTCAAGACATAAACTATGAAAACACAATGCCAACATCAATGCAAACAAGACTATGATGTATATTGATGTGCAATGATGTGCATGTTTAAACCATAAACCCACCATTTCTCATTTTCTCGTTTTGGTCTTCCCGTTATGCCGTTATGTTACCCTGGGTGAGTGAGGTTTTCCCTTCGGGTTCTCCGGTGGACCCTGCGAGCTCGAAGAGGCCGTTGCGCCTCCAGGTCCGGACCGCCAACGGCCTCGGGAACCTGGAGACGCAACGGCCGCTCCGAGCTTAGGCGCCCAAACCTTCGTCCCCAAAGAATTCACACAACGGGAACATCAAAACAAGAAAATGAGAAATGGTGGGTAGACGTCAACTAGTTATGAAAACCAATTGAAACCATATAAAATCAAATAAAATCATGGTTCAGCCAATTTCTTTACAAAACCAAAACATTTCACAACATCTAAAGCATGGCCTTAATGTCCTGAAACCCCAAAACATTACAAAATAAAAAACATGGTTTAAGGATGTTTAAGGATGTTTAAGGTGTCCTCTAAAATGATCCCAAAAATGTACCTCTACAGAATCAAAAACATGCTTGGAGATGATTCAAGATACCCAGCCATCTCCCACAAAAAAATGCTTTGTGCACCTTTGTGCCAAACGTTAACGTGTTAGATTTTGTAGGGGATTTTTTTGGAGGTATTCATTTTCAATCATTTTCGAAGGTTTCAATAGAGGTTCTTAATGTCGGTTTGCGTGGCAGGCGTGGCGCTTCGTGACATTCCGATGTGTTTCATAACGTGTCAAAAGCCGTTCTGTATGACAGGCAGGGGCAATACTTTTGCATCGCTTTCAGAAGATGACGTTCATTTTTCGTGGCAAGCACAGAACTTTGGAGGTGTCCAATTTCATTTTGCGTGGCAGCCGCAGCACTTTATAGACGTATGGTGTTGCATATTTTTTGCGAATCGCATTGCCAGGCAGATCCGTCGTGTGTGGAATGTCATGTTGCCTGGCAAGCGCAGTATTTGGAACATTCTACTTACACTTTACACTTGCCACTCCCCACTCTACTCTACACTTTACACTCCGCACTTTAAACTCCACACTCTACACTCTACGCTCTACACTTTGCACTTTACACTCCAGACTTTACACTTTACACTCCACACTCTACACATTACACTTTACACTTCGCACTTTAAACTCCGCACTCTACACTCTACGCTCTACACTTTGCACTTTACACTCCAGACTTTACACTTTACACTTTACACTCCACACTCTACACTTGACACTCCGCACTCTACACATTACACTTTACACTTCGCACTCTACACTTTGCGATTCGCACTTTACACTTTACACTTGACACTCCACACTCTACACTTGACACTACACACTCCACACTCTACACTTTACACTCCACACTCTACACTTTACACTCCACACTCTACACTTTACACTCCACGCTCTACACTTTACACTTCAGACTTTACACTTGCCACTCCACACTTTACAATCTTTACATTTTACACTTTAAATTTTGCACTCCGCATTTTACACTTTACACTCGACACTTCGCACTCTACAATCCCCACTTCATACCCTACACACTACATTCCCCACTCAACACTCCACGGTCTTTATATTTCACACTCTGCATTCCACCCCATTCCACGCTCCACAGTCTACACTGGTACGGTCACACGGGGAAGACAGGACAAGACTGTTGAAATAACTTGTTTCACAAAAAAGTGTTTAACGTGACTTCAGATTCGTTGGTTGCTCTCGTTTATTCAGTCTCAAATAGTCTCAAGATCAGTCCGTCTTGCCGAAGAAGGGCGGCGACCCGCAATGCAGGCAATACATGAGTACCTGTCAATCGCTGATCGAATCTGACCAGGTCCATATGATCCACTCAGTATCACGCTCCAACAAGCTCCTGGCAGCTCGTACCAGTATCTGATAGCTAACTAAAGCGCACCATGATCAGCAAACATACGAAAGGACCCAAAGGACCTAAATGCATCTAAATGCATCTAAATGCCATAAAGATCCATAGAGTGCCCATCTCTTCAACTATTTCGATGCAAATCAATGCGCAGCCTTTGGATGCGACAAGGGGCCCCGCAGCTCCAGACGTCGACGCTCTTTCCGTACTTCCTTGGATCAATGGGCAAAGGCTAAAGCTGCAGTACCTGGACTTTGCCAGTACTTCCCCTGAACCAGGCAATCTTACTCTGATGTATCACAAGAGTCTACTCCAGCTTGATCAGTCATCCAGGATTCGATACACTGGGGAATTACCACAGCAAATCCTGGCAAATCCGACATGAATGCTTTGTATGGCAGAAACGAATAGAAACGATCCAATTCCAATGGCTGTCGAAATCTGCAATCCTGTCACCTTTCCATCCCAGTTTCTGATTCAGCACTTCAGGAGCAACATAGTACGAGGTGCCCACAGCTGTATGTAGTTGCTGTGATTCTTCACAGCGATTTGCCAAACCTCAAAGTTGCTGTATTCTCCTATATTCTCCTCGCTTTTTCTGAAAGGTTTCACACACATTCTGACAAAACCGGTGGCCATGAAAATACGTGTGATGGCATGTGCGCAATAACGAGGTGTAAGTCTTCGGGTATCTGCATGGTCTAGAACCTGGCAAAAGCAGCAAACCAACTTTCGTCATGTTTTGTGATCTTGAAGGCTATTATTATTATACCAATTTCTTCAACATTTAGCTCAGGAAAGAATGTCCAGCACAGAGCAACCACTGACATCCGGCACAGTGAGGAAACAAGAACGCAACCATGAAACCATGACTAACAAAGATTAACGAATTCCAAAAAGGACCAAACAACTATCTCCTCACAGCACCATTTGTGAGAAATTTCCAAGGACTTGACATATCTTAACCTTTTTGATCTTGTTTGCGACTCCCAAATCCTCTGTTTTACCTGTGTGAGCAGGTGAAGGAACAATTTGTTGAAACTGGAACAGCTGATCTTCCATGATTTCCCACGCCAAGTTGCCGAAGTCAATGAGTTTCACTGGTGTTTGATCCACAGCTTTGCACTTTGAAAGAAGGATGTAGTTCTCAGGTTTCCTCAGATCCAGAAAGATAGAGCAAGATAAAACGGTCTTTGCGCCTTCCTTCACTTTCAACGTGCAAGTTCATGCGCTCGAATGCAGGGAGCAACAAACGCGGAAATGTAAGATTTGGCAAATCGTTTTTCATCAGCAGCACACAATAAAATAAGTAAAGAAACGCAAGCCCTGTTTCTGCGCTTTTGTTGCGCAGCTCTGCGCGCTTTTTAGCAATCAAATCGACATATTCTGGCATCATACACAGTATGACAATGCCTAAAATGCCTTGCGTCTTCTGGAAAAAGGCAACACCATGCTCCGGAATCCGCGCAATCCAGTTTATACCAGAGTGTACAGAGGGCATGATTTCCAGCGCTTAGACTTGTAGACCACCCCAAAATTCTTGCAGTCATGACGCCTGGTCACGCCTGATGAAGTATGATGAAGTCTCAGAAGCACGTCAAACATGTCGATCAGTTTTGAATGATGGTGAATGATGCCGATGTGCTTTCGCTCATGGGCTGCTGATGGTATTTGTAGCTTGTTTCAACGATATAAATGTTCCCCAAACATCCCCAAACAACGTGTTCACACTTGGGGTTATTATAGGTGTTAAACTTGGTGTTGGTTTAAAGTGGTCTCCGGCGGTCCACCAAACTAATTTTGTGATCCTTACAATGCAAAAATTCCTCGGGTTTCCGTTTTCTAAGGAAGTCTGGCGCAAAACCTGTCCCCGGGGACTTCCCTTGCGGAGGTGGGTTCTCGCTTGCGTGCTCCGTTTTTGGAGCTGCTAGTATGATCTAGTATGTATGTGATTTTTTCGTGGCAGGCGCAAGAGATGACTCATGTTTGGGGGGTCAGAACATGTCAGAACCTTGTTTGGCGTGGCAGGCGCACGACATTGGATGTTTTTTTGCATGCGCGTGGCAGGCGCAGTGCTTCGTGCACGTTGCTAAAGCGTTGGCAAGCGTGGGTCGAATGAGAGGTGCTGTCAGAAGTATTTGGTGAGCTTGGCCAATGTTTTGACAGGCTCGAAACGCTCGTGTTGTGGGCCCGTCTTCATTTTTCAAGCGTCCGTGTTGAGATCATTATTTGGTGTGGCAGCTTCGGACGCCTCATCTTCATTGTTTCGTGGCAGGTGAAAACATTTTACAAACGATGCTGAAATCGGTAGGAGTTGCACATTGTATGGGAGCTGCGCCGTCCAATGTTGGATTGCTCTCGCTGTGGCACACTGTGCGTTTTGATATTCTTTGCGCGCCCTTCTCGTCTCGGCACGGTGCTCATTTCGACATCGTTGCACAACCTTCTCGTCACTTCGTGCGTGTTGAATGGCCTTGTTGTGGTGCGCTGCTTATTTTATGTTCCTCGCGGCTCTCGTTGTGGCGCGGTGCTCATTTTGACATCGCTCATGCAACATTCTCGTCAGTTTGTGCGTGTCACATCGCTCTCGTTGCGCCGCGGTGGTGATTCTTTCCAGGAGATCTTGTACAGAGATCTCCCAACAGCGATCTTGCCAAGAGATGTGGTATAGAGACATTGGACAGAATCTTGTAAAAAGATCTGTTACAGAGATCTTGCCAGGAGATGTTTTACAATGAGCTTGCCAAGAGACCTTGTATAGAGATCTTGCACAGAGATCTTGTATAGAGATCTCTTGCAGAGATCTTGCCAAGAGGTCTCTTACAGAGATCTTGCTAAGAGATTCCGCATAGAGAGCTTGAACAGAGATCTCATTTAGAGATCTCTCGCAGAGATCTTGTGCGGAGAGAATTTGTACAGGGATCCTGCAAAGAGATCTCCTACAGAGATCTTGAGAGATCGTGCGTGGAGATCTCTCATAGAGATCTTGTACAGAGATCTCTTGCAGAGATCTCGGCAAGAGATGTTCTATGAGAGCTTGTGCGAAAGAGACCCCTTGTAGAGAGCTTGTGCAGAGGTCTTGTATATTCACAGATCTCCTACTACAAAGACATTGCCAATAGACCCCTCATGGGATCTTGTATAGAGACCTCTTATGCAATCCTGAAAAAAACATAAATTGTTCTTGTATAGAGATCACTGACAGAGACTTACCACAAAGACCTTGACGAAGGGCCTACACAGGATCTCTTGCACGCATGACCTTCTACAGATATTCTTGCAAATGAATCTTGCAAGGAGATTATGCACACTATCTTTTGCACAGATCTTACAAAGGGAACTTACAGAATCTGCCCTGGTACCTCTTCGTCATGTTCTTGGTGTGGGCGCCTAGCAGCGCGCGCTCTTTCACATTTTTCACTTGTTCTGCAGGGTTTGGGGGGTTTGGGTGGGGGGGTCGTGGGGCGTAATCTCTTTCTGCTGCCTTGCGTTCTTTCAAGACGCTGTTGATGCTACGCCACGCTCTTGACTTTCTCAAGTAACCTCCAAGATGCTCTTCATGTTACGCTTTTAACTTTCTGAAGTAACCCTCAAGATAAAACTTGACTTTCAATTCAAGTACTGTAACTCTCAAGAAAAAAGGAGGTCCGAAGAACACAGACACGGCATCCATTTTCGAACCGCCTTACTGTAAAATTTGCTGCCAGGAAACATTTATAAATACTGTTTGAAGATGTTTGAAGTCTGTAAACACACGCGAGAGTTGCACATTTGCAACATCAGATCAAAAAATGCTAATTTGATGAGTGACAACACTCCAGCGCTCCTATGGGGGACGTGACCATGTTCTTTGCAACACTGCACTGTTTGGGGTCTCTTGCCGGGATAAGCGGAATATGTATAATATATATATACATAATTATAATTATATAATATATAATTACACACATATAACATCATATAACTACAATATACTACAATACAGTCTCAGATCGCCTGGGTACATACTGTAATTATAATTCAAATACCGGAGGCATCGTTATCCGAACGTCTGCTCCGAGGCATCTTGCAGCAAAGCTTCAAATCACGATGAACTACGTCTTTTGTGTGACAATATGCGATGGACGAAAACACCTGCATTGATCGAAATCACTGTGCTCAATTTGAATTCATCATATCAACAGCTCGAGGATACTTGAGGCCTGGATCTTGAGACCAGCTACACTTTGCATAATTTGGCATCATTTTCAGACTTTTCTGAACTGCTACCTCACTGCTACCATCTGCCACCAGCTGTGTAAAGGACACGCATCAAGCTGCATGGGTTTTCAAAGATTACTGTTCTGTCAAGTCAGGATGAAGAATGTATGGTAATACCTTTGCAGGCACACGTAAGAAAAACAAAACGGGATGGCAACACCTCAAGGAAGAAACTACTGCCACACGCCTGCTTCATAACTTTTCTTACGGTGGGTTCTGTCAGGTACTTTTCCTCAGCTGCATAGATGTCCAAATGTCAAAGGGATGGAAAACTCTTTCAAACTGTGTTGGTTTCCAGTCTTTACCACAGAGCTTGGTTCTAATTCACAAGCAGTTGTGCTAAGTGTCAGGTTTCACCCCATGTGCATACAACGCATGTGTCTCCCCATGGGCTGGTGTCAGCCGAGTTTGGAGCAAGACAAGGGGGGATATATTTCAAACAGTTTCAAACACATTTGAACCCGACAAAAACATCCCGGAGAGCCACATCCGACAAACTAAAACCGAATGAAAGAATTGACAAAGGTCTTCCACCAAACGGTCAAAAAGTTCTCCACCTTCACAAAGCTCCATCACAAGATACAAGCAACAGCGATCCTCAAAGGGAGGAAGGAAGGGTTGATGATGTTTGGCATATCTTAGCTTCACAAAACCACTCCTTGAAGTGAGTTTCCCATTCCCATCTGGAGTTTTGGGGTCACTCGTGTAAACAAATGTAAAACAGAAAGAACATACTGTATATAATTGAATTGTGTTCCTAAGCTGCTCCTAATCGCGCCAAGGATTGTGGCGGAATTGAAGTTGATCGAAATGAAGATAAGTGAAGGGACTAGACTGACTACTGTTCTGTTGCAAACTGCCAAGTCAAGTCAAGTCAATTCTCCAAGTCCTCCCAAGAAACATGGCTATAGATGACCATGGTATTAAAGTGTGATATATGTATATAATGATATATATGCTATATATAATAAAATCAAGATTACTTTACTTCGTGTGATCCCCACCATGACATTTATACATTTTCTTACTGGCATTCTATCTGGCATATCTTCTGGCATATATTCTGGCATATGTTCTGGCATATCTTCTGGCATTCTATCTGGCAAATCTTCTGGCATTCTATCTGACATATTCTTCTGGCATTCTATCTGGCATATGTTCTGGCATATCTTCTGGCATTCTATCTGGCAAATCTTCTGGCATTCTATCTGGCATATCTTCTGGCATTCTATCTGACATATCTTCTGACATTCTTTCTGGCACTCTATCTGGCATATATTCTGATATTCTTTCTGGCATATCTTGTGGCATGCAGAACATTCTTTCTGGCATATCTTATGACATTCTATCTGGCATATCTTCTGGCATATGTTCTGGCATATCTTCTGGCATTCTATCTGGCAAATCTTCTGGCATTCTATCTGGCATATCTTCTGGCATTCTATCTGACATATCTTCTGGCATTCTATCTGGCATATCTTCTGACATTCTATCTGACATCTTTTCTCACATTCTTCCCGTTGAGGTCCGGCAGTGCCCACTGCGATCTGGAAGTCGCGGTTGAGGCCCGGCAGTGCCCACTGCGATCTGGAAGTCGCGGTTGAGGTCCGGCAGTGCCCACTGCGACCTGGAAGTCGCGGTTGAGGTCCGGCAGTGCCCACTGCGATCTGCAACTCGCGGTTGAGGTCCGGCAGTGCCCACTGGGATCTGGAGCTCGCGGTGGAGGTCCGGCTGTGGTCACTGGGATCTGGACTGCGAGGAGGAGGCGGCGGGTGAGGAGGCGGAGGAGGAGGAGGCAGAGGAGGCGGAGGAGGAGGAGGAGAACAGCTCTGATAAAATCTAACAACCCTCACCTGGCAGGTGGGGAAATACTATAATATATAACATAAAATACTATAATACCAGTAGTACCGCACAAGGCGGTGGCGGAAGTTTCAAAAATAGGAAACCTATAGGAGAGGTTGGTAGTTGTGAATCAGGGATGGCAGAGCGAAGCCACTGATGGAGCAAAAGGTGATTGATCTCTCTCACTACTTCTCTCTCTTTCTCTGACTATCTACCTACCTACCTACCTATCTATCTATCTATCTACCTATCTATCTATCTATCTATCTCTCTCTCTCTCTCTTTCATCTAATTACCTATCTATCTATCTATCTATCTCTCTCTCTCTCTCTTTCATCTAATTACCTATCTATCTATCTATCTATCTATCTCTCTCTCTATCTCTCTCTATCTATCTCTATCTATCTCTATCTATCTCTATCTATCTCTATCTATCTCTATCTATCTCTATCTAGCTCTATCTATCTCTATCTATCTCTATCCATCTCTATCTATCTCTATCTATCTCTCTCTCTCCCTCTCTCTCTCCTTCATCTGTCTAGCTGTCTACCTGTCTATCTGTCTATCTATCTATCTGTCTACCTGTCTATCTCTGGTGCAGTGTCATTCAGTGTAATGTAGTGTAGTGTTATGTAGTGTAGTGTAATTCTGACATCGCCACGTCCAAAAGTGTTCCGCCCATGGTGTGTTTTGTACATTTTGACTTGGAAATGTGCTTCGCGACACAATGGCGTGCACTTTTTCGACATCACCACGTCCAAAAGTGCTCCGACCATGGTGTGTTTTGTGCATTTTGACTTGGAAATGTGCTTCGCGCCACAATGGCGTGCACTTTTTCGACATCACCACGTCCAAAAGTGCTCCGACCATGGTGTGTTTTGTACATTTTGACTTGGAAATGTGCTTCGCGCCACAACGGCGTGCAATTTTTCATCTCTCATCTGGCCAGCTGGCTCCGCACCCGCCACTTTAGCGAGCCTACTTTTCGACCCCCCGGAGCCCCAAATCATTGGAAAAACACAGTGTTTCGCGACTTTCCTACCCTTTCACGCATCTGCATCTTCTTTCTTCTTACTCTTCTTTCTTCTAATCTTTCTCTTCTCTCTGCCTCTTGCCTGCTATGCTTTTCATCTGTCCATATTGTCGGAAGTTTGACTTCTAAACTTCCTTCGATAAAACATAATATACGATGATATACTATACTATAATATATAATACATAATATATAATATAAAATATATAATAAATAATATACCAGTAGTACCCGCACGAGGCGGGGCGGAAGTTGCCTTAAAGATATATATAAGACCTTTCTCATCTATAGAACTTGCATGCGCCGTGCGCCAGCCAAGCCCGTGCGTGCGTGCACTCTGCGTGCACTCTGCGTGCACTCTGCACTCTGCACATTTGAAGCTCCACTTCGCCCTTCACACTTTTCACTGCACTCTTCACACTCCACACTGCACACTTCACACTTCACACTCCACACTTCTCACTTCACACTGCACTCTTCCCAATCCACACTTCACACTTCACACTCCACACTTCACACTTCACAGTCCACACTTCACACTTCTCACTTCTCATTGCTTTCTTCACACTCCACACTTCAGACTGCACTCTTCACGCCCCACACTTCACACTGCACTCTTCACACTCCACACTTCATCTCATCTGAGCTCTTCTCACCTTATCCCAGCTCATCTCTTCTCATCTCATCTCTTCTCATATGTCACCTAAGCTTTCATGAATCACTTCCCAGTACTACTACTAAGGAACTTGCATGTGCCGTGCGCCAGCCAGGCCCGTGCGTGCGTGCTTTGTGCGAAGCTGTTGCAGTGTTGCTGTCCAAGAACATGACCTGCGCGCGACCCCGGTACAATGCAAACACTTTCCTCACACTTCACATTGCACTCTTCACACCCCACACTCCACACTCCACACTTGCACTTCATCTCAACTCATCTCATCTGAGCTCTTCTCATCTCATTCCATGTCTTCCCATATGTCAGCTAAGTTCTTCTTGGCTATTTTTATGTCAAGTACTTCCCAGTACTTTGTACTACAAAGCTTGCACAAAGCACTTCCCAGTACTACTTTGTACTACAAAGCTTGCACAAAGCACTTCCCCGTACTACTGTGTACTACAAAGCTTGCACAAACTACTTCCCGGTACTACTCTGTATTACAAAGCTTGCACAAAGCACGTTCCAGTACTACTTTGTGATACAGAGCTTGCACAAAGCACTTCCCAGTACTACTTTGTACTACAAAGCTTGCACAAAGCACTTCCCAGTACTACTTTGTACTACAAAGCTTGCACAAAACACGTTTCAGTACTACTTTGTACTGCAAAGCTTGCACAAAACACGTTCCAGTACTACTTTGTACTACAAAGCTTGCACAAACACTTCCCAGTACTACTTTGTACTACAAAGCTTGCACAAAGCACTTCGCAGTACTACTTTGTACTACAAAGCTTGCACAAAGCACTTCCCAGTACTACTGTGTACTACAAAGCTTGCACAAAGCACTTCCCAGTACTACTTTGTACTACAAAGCTTGCACAAAGCACTTCCCAGTACTACTTTGTACTACAAAGCTTGCACAAAACACGTTCCAGTACTACTTTGTACTACAGAGCTTGCACAAAGCACTTCCCAGTACTACTGTGTACTACAAAGCTTGCACAAACACGTTCCAGTACTACTTTGTACTACAAAGCTTGCACAAAACACGTTCCAGTACTACTTTGTACTACAAAGCTTCTACACACACAAGTTCTTTCGCAGAGAAGCTTTTACACACAGCAAGCTTTTCAAGCAAAGAAGCTTTTACACACAGAAGCTTTTACACACAACAAGCTTCTTCACAGAGAAGCTTTCACACACAGCAAGCGTTTACACACAGAACACTTACACACAGTGCTTTTACACATGGCAAGCGTTTACACACAGAAACTTTTGCACAGAGACGCTTTTACACACAGAGGCTTTTACACACAGCAAGCTTTTACACACAAAATCTTTTTCGCACAGCAAGTATTCAAACACAGCAAGCGTTTACACACAGAACACTTACACACAGTGCTTTTACACATGGCAAGCGTTTACACACACAGCAAGCTTTTTAAACAGAGAAGCTTTTGCACACATCAAGTTCTTTCGCAGAGAAGCTTTTACACACAGCAAGCTTTTCAAGCAAAGAAGCTTTTACACACAGAAGCTTTTACACACAACAAGCTTCTTCACAGAGAAGCTTTCACACACAGCAAGCGTTTACACACAGAACACTTACACACAGTGCTTTTACACATGGCAAGCGTTTACACACAGAAACTTTTGCACAGAGACGCTTTTACACACAACAAGCTTTTACACAGAGAAGCTTTTACACACAGCAAGCTTTCACACACAGCAAGCGCTTACACACAGAACACTTACGCACAGTGCTTTTACACATGGCAAGCGTTTACACACACAGAAACTTTTACACAGAGACGCTTTTACAGACAAGCTTTTACACACAGCAAGCTTTTACAGAAAAAGTTTTTGCACAGAGAAGCTTTCTTGTACATAATCACAACAGGAATTGCAGCTCCAAAACCGGATCTCGACGCCAAAGCGACAAAAAGACGATTTTGAAGCACTTTTTAAAAAGAATTTTAAAAGGAAAATTGCTACCGCCAAAATTGCGAAAATTTGCTAACAAACCAATCTCGCAGCCTGGATGCAGCCACGCCAATACGATTTACG